ATTAAGGAAATAAAGAAAAAGGCAAAGTTTCTAGCACACAGTTAAAATGGAAGTAGTTTTTTATATTTTAATTCTGAAAACTTCTGGTAGCTCATAAAGATAAGGTAAATTAAAAAGTGAAAATTTCCTGGATTCTCTTTTTAACTCAGCAGTTCAAAGCAGCATCCCAATCCCATTTTCACTAAAACCTAAACACTGCAAAGCCATGTCTTCTAATTCCCCATGCAGACCTTCAGGTGATGATTCTTTTTTTTTCTTTCCTTACATTGCAACCATGAACAAACTACAAAAAGTACTTTGGGAAGAGTCATCACATTACAAGTTCCATCTTGCTTATCATCTCAATTGTAACAGAGCAAGCTTGAAAAGGAAGAAGACATCCAACTACCTAATTTGTGAAACAGACATAATCAGACACAAAATTAATACAGAGACATTCAGCAGGTGAACACCAAGTGTCTGGGTAACTTACTGGGCAAAGATTTAAATGTCTACTGCCTCCTAACTGCTTTAGCAGGGGTTCTGTTGAATGCTCACTTCATAGATGCATCTAAATTTTGTCCATGCTTTTCTCTAAAAGCTTCTGTGGTGTTTGCCTTAGGTATCTAAAGAGTTTTCACAAAGTGGACCTCTACATCACTCAGACTGAGCTAGAAGCAAATCAGAGCATCTGACAGCTATCAGTGCTCTTTTTGCTGCTCCTCTGGGGGCAGAAGGACCAGCCTCAGCAGTCATGCAAAAAGCTGTGCTCAAACTGCAGTTCCCCAAGATACAGACAACTGATCCTCATCAGCTTTCCTGCCATGCTGGGCACATGAGAGGTCAGAGCTATGTAATCCTACTTGCTTCCAGAGAAGCAGCCAGGAGGATGAGAAATGAACATCACCTTTTTAAGAGCTACAACAAGAGCTGCTAAGTAAATCACAGATTTCTGGGATTTATAACTTAGCAAATAAATATAATGCATAAATATCCATGTTCTTTTATTTACACAGCACACTGCAACGGGAGTTTCCACGTTTACCGTAAGGTGCTGGTAGAGACCTCAGAGACATATAGGCTTTCCTTAAAATCAGGAGCTGGCTTTTATGTCAATAGCCACTTGAATTTCAGATGACTTCTGCAGCAACACTGGCAAACACCAGAATTTCAAGTTACACACAGTAACAATTATTGAAGCAGGTAAAACAAGTAAAAACAAAAGGTGATAAATCAGCTTAATACTCTGTCTGTGTTCAGGTATCCACACTGGTAACTTTTGGTCAGATTACATCAATAAACATTTGCTAAGTGAAAAGGTTTGTTCAATGGCTGAAGTGATTTCAGGCACTGAAATGTGTCATGTCACATTTCATGTCATAAATGTGTGGCATTCTTCAGAAAAAAACCACACTAATTTTTTGATTATTTGTCACAATTCTACTGCAAACTATCATACTTTAGTCATTTGTTAAACAAAACATTCAGATGCAACCTTCCATTCAGATATACACTCTTACTTGGAAATCTTTAAGCTTCAAAAAAGGTGATAACCTGTGCCTGAAACATAGGCAGCGAGTTATCAGCAGAAGTCCAAAGGCAAGTTAAAAGTCATGAGTACTTACTCTGGACTAATCTGAAGTCATCAAGATTACTTCTCTTTTAATATTCCTGTACCCATAACATTGTACCATTGTCAATTCATTCAGAAAAAGCAAACTTCCCCATTTCTCTAAGAACTGTTCACTTTCAAGCCCTGCTATACCTATTTAATGGCCAGTTTCAATACATTTATTGTTAAAAATGCCTGTTACCTTACTAGAAACATTTAAATGTATCTTTCAAAGAAATGAAGTAGCATTTGCTACTCAGTTCCTTTAGAAACATTTCCCATACTTCCAAACAAACAACTGTACTTATAACACTTTGAGGATGCCTACTTCAAATCACATACATGTTGCATTGAGGCTTGGCAGTTGTTAAGGCAAAAATAACCAGTTCTTCTGAAACTGTAAACCATAGGGCAAGTATCTTTATATCCTCTTTCACGCTTTTTTGTCTTGAAAATCCAAGGTCAAATCTGAGAGCTCACAATAATGAGAAACAGGAGAGGCTTGTTATAAGTCAGTAAAGAGTGCAGAGCAGCAGGCAGCAGCACTGAACAGTTCCAAGATCAGAGACAGAGAAGGGAGGCATAATGAACACACAGAACAGAAGAAAGGCTGTGGCAATCACATGCTTAACGTATTATGAATAAACAGGATCCTGGGAAGGTGTCTCCTGTCAAGGGAGACAGCCACAGCAGGCATTACCCAGCAGAAACATTATTATGAATAAGCAGGATCCTGGGAAGGTGTCTCCTGTCAAGGGAGACAGCCACAGCAGGCATTACCCAGCAGAAACATTTGCAGGGAGATCACACAAAAGCAGTAAACACTCAAGGCAAATGCAGCCAGCAGAACCACCTTATAGCAGATCAAAATGCCCCTCTTGAGCTAATGGCTTGAAGCTGAAACTTCTAGTTCCTTGCATAACTTGCCTGCCACCCACAAAGTGAAGAAATTCTGAAGGATTATTTTTGGGAATGGGATGTTGCAGAGAAATGTATATACCCCTGCACTTGTAATATTTTTTTTCAGTAACACTCTCAAGTAATGACTCTTGGGAATCACTCTCCTTCCACCCCAGCCTTAAAAATGAAGTCTGAGCTGTATGTTCCAGAATAGATCTCTCAGATAACATTTAAAGATCTGGATCATGCTAATCTATATGAAGTTACTTTCTCATTTTTTTAAAAGAAAGAAGATACAACTCTGACAGAACTCCTAGGCAGCATTACCCTTATCATACAGCTCATCCTATACCACAAACTTGGAAACACCCAAAGCCACTAAAAAAACCACAGCGTGATCTTGAAAGGTCCTGATCATTTCACCAGCTGTGAACTCATGGCACCTTTAGAAAACCATTCCTGCAATTATCCTCGAAACAAAACTGCAGCAGTCCATTTGCTATGAAAAAACATTAGTAGTGTTTAAACTAGAACTGCCTTCTTGCACTTGAGTTCATTACCTCCAAGCAATCTAGGCTTGCTTGATTTATTAATATACACTCTCCGGTCTTTTTAAGCCTTTAAGGATACAATTCCATGTAGGAGGGAACGCACACGGTTTCTTTTGAAAACTCCACAGGACAATAAAGTCTGCTAAGTTGTTCTTCATACAGAGTCAAGGCATCAGTCAGATTGATACAATTTCCCTGGGGGAAAAAAAAAAGTCCCAGTCACAATCAAATAAGCAAAATTCCAGATGAATATATACAATTTGACTTTCCTGCAAGGCTCCCACATACTTCAGAACCAGATACATGCTGCTCTTAATATTTAACATTTACAAGGCAAATACTCAACAGCTTGTCTTCATTCTGCCTACAGCAAACAATAATTTGTATCTTCTCAAGAAAGGGTAAGTATTGGGGGATTATCTATATTCTCATTAGCAGAAACAACCATTGCACTAGGGCTTCCAGTTAAAACAGACCACCATGTGTTGTTCACCTATAACATCTACTCAATAACCATTTTCTTTATGGCTGCTTAAATATTTTAGTAAACAGCATTACAACATCCAGATTTTTCAATTATTTAACATTGCCTAGATCTTACAATGTTTAAATGCACTACAAAAAAAACCCCAACTATAGCCTGTTCATTTTAAACGTAACATTGCCTAGATCTTACAATATTTAAATGCACTACAAAAAAACCCCCAACTATAGCCTGTTCATTTTAAACAGATTCTTCCACAGAGCAATATAACAAAATCAGATGATTATACAGAAGTACTCCCGCTGCAGGCTACATTGTCCTGAGTTTCCATATATCATGTTTCTGAAAAGGAAGTCACTCCCATTACACCATTTTTTTTCCACTTGGACCCATGTCTTATTTCATTTAAGAATACTAGTACTATCCTTTTCTGAAAAAAATTAAAATCAGTGCTCTGATGATTATTCTCTTACAGTGAAATTACAAAATACCAGACATATTGAATTCACAGCATTTCTTCCCAAACAAATATACCCCAAACATATTGTTCTTGAAATACAAACATACCTCAAGGATTAGAGTGTGAGGAATTTAAACAAAACAAACAAAACAAAAAACCCACCCCACCCAAAACAACTCCTAATTGCAAGCACTACCTTGTCCCAAGCTAAGTATTACCAACAAGCAGAAATTCCTGCAATGTATACCTGGGATGCCTGTACAGAGAGAGGTCTAATTAGAAGAGTGAGTTATCCATATCCATAATGAATTTGAAGATTCAGCAGTAACAGTGAGCTCACAGAACACCAGACTGAACAAATACAGACAACTGAAAGCAATAAGTCAGTTGTGTAAATTCAATTAAAAAACACTTTGTCAAGTTTCTTGACTTTCTTGCCTACATAACTGGCTAGACTAGCAAATACTTCTTAAGACCATTGTGTTTCAGGTCCTAAAGCATGTGGCAAACACAAGTTATTTGGACACTAATTTAAAATTAAAGTTGAATATAGACACCACTGTGTGGTCTACAAATTACTCAGCCTTTGTTTTCCAGGTACAAGGTACTGAATGAATACCCACCAAATGTAACCTACTTTCTTTTTCTGATTTCTAGTCAGCAGAAACAGCAGCATTAACTAGTATTTTCCAGAGTTACTCTGCATATAAAAATCTTCACTTTACCACTTCTAGTGGAGGAACTTTTACCACAGAAGATAAGGAGAACAAAAAGGAAACTTTCATGTTAATGAACAGTCTCTCAATCTAGCACACGAGCCAAAGTCTCACAAAACTATGGCAAGGCACAGAAGTTTGCTGTTTATCTAAGATCACAAGAACATTACTCTCAATGACACGCGGATATGCATCAGACAAAAACAAAATAAGGGAAGAAACAGGCATTTACCAATACAGCCATCATCTTAGTTTCTAGATGACTGTCTGTTCATGAATGGACAGGTCAAAATCCTTCCAAACATAAGCACTTCTGAGCAGAATACTGCTTTTGATCTTTAAAAGCCCTGAACTTTGCAAGAAAGAAACAAGAAAAAGAGAGTCTAAACCAACAGACTCCAGCTATGGCATGCTAGTATCTTCCTGCTGCTCTGAATGATTTTGGGAAATGTTTGTGTGCACATACACACACAATTGGGGTTTTTTCCTGATTATTGAACGAGGTACCTTGTCTCTTCCTGCCCTTTGATAATGTGTGCAACTTGCACCCAACTGTGCAAGAATGCAGATGGTTCAAATGAAAAGAGCTGGATCTAATGAAAAACTCTAGATCCCTTACAGTCACAACTTATTCAGTATTTTAAGACCTCTAACTTGAAATGAAGGTCAAGTTCTACAGGACCTGAGGAACCAAGGACTTATTCAACACCTCCAAAATGTCTGCACTACCTATGTTTCACATGTATGTGTTGCTTTGCTAACATATTGTGAAGCTTTTAAATCCAAGAAAACAATCTTTAAGACTTGTTTTACTGTTTAACTTTTTTTTTGTACTCGCAGATTTTTTAAATCATTATACGCATAGAGATGCAACTGAAAGTTAGTGTTCACAAAACAAGGAACTAAGATGTGTTTGACCAACAAATACTCTGTGCTCTTTAAAACAATGTACAATAGGCAGAGGACAAAACAAGTAGAGATCTTCTTTGAAATCACTACGTCTAAACAGCTCCATCTACATTACTTTTTTCCTTGTAACAACATCAGATAACTAGAACCAAAGTAAAATGCACATTCTAACTTTGGGATTTATACTATTTTTTTCTACTTTTTATTGTTAGGATTTTTCACAATGTATATAAAACATTTCTATTTTTAGAGGAAGTGAAAAAAAGACTTCATCCTACTAATCTTCTCCTGAATTTTTTGTATCCTGCTCAAAGTATTTTTTGCATTGAGCTCAAGTTCTCACAAGCAGAAAATAAAACCTCAGCTTAAAAAAACCTTAACACAGCATCTCAGCAATGCTCTCGGGCACATAGTGATTCTTGGGGCTGTCCTGTGCAGGACCAGCAGTTGGGCTTCAATGATTCTTGTGGGTCCCTTCCATCTAAGGATATTCTGCGATTCTATTCTATTACCAATTAAAAATCGTATTTTTGAAAGCTGTCTTTCAAATGAACTTGCATAAAACATGTTTGATTATAATTTTGAATGCATTGTACAAACATATACTTGTTTATTTGGTAAAGGAAGATGACATGGCTTTATGTTGAATTTTCCATATTTGGGTTTGGTATCAGAGAACAAACGAGGTTTGTAAAAAGGTAAGAGACTAACACTAACTTAGCACAACAACAAACAGACTGCTGTAGTGCTTCTTTAGAAACCTGTTATTATCCAGGGGATTGTAGCAGGTTTTTTGTTCAGCCACCCTTTACCAAACATATAATTTTGTTTCGACATCAGACCAAATGCAAAAGAAAACTAAAAACCAACCTGTGTGCAATTTGAGTCATAAATAGAAAACACTGCTAGGTAATTTATAGAGCATACCACTATTACGTAGGAAGTTGAGCTGGACACACAATGACAGGAAAGTATCCACAGTTACCCAGCCTGTCCCTTCAGTATTTCATTATTTCTCCTTTCTCTAGCAAGAGACAAATCACTGCAGACACCATGGAAAATGAATTACAGGAACAATAAACATGCCAATAAGCAATTTCCACTTCTCAAACCCCCAACTCCCCAGACTCCAAATCAAGACCTTGTCTAAATATTCAGACAACCTACTTGGCTGTTCTACTAACCTCTTTCTTCTGGAGACACACCATGGCATTTTACAGTTCTATACAGTTACAGTACTTTTTTTTTGTAATTATCTGGCTTTACTCAGCAAAAAGTTAAGAACTCCAAAAATCACATCCACAAAACTTAAGACTTACTTCAATAAAAACTTATTGAAAAAAAATCACTATTATGAACATCTTTCTTTAAAAAGCGACCGCTTTATCGACTACAACTACAGTGTTAATAACTATGTCAATCACAGCTAGACGTTCTTGTTTAACTAAAATGACACAGGGAACATAGCCCAGAATGCAATACAGGGATCAGTCTAATAACCTGTGTTCATTTTAACTTACCACTGTTAATGTGGTAGAGCAAAACATTGTTCTGAACAGCCACCATATACTCAAACAATAGCTAATACTGAGCACTGTTTAATAAGGTTTAAAGCTGATGACTCACCAATTATACTTTTTCAAAGGGCAATAAGCAAAATCATTTTCTTTTTTCTCCCACACTGTTCAGTCAACTTCCAACATACACAAAAACCCTACCAAACTCCTCTGCCCATCCCCCCTTACTTAATCTATGTTCCACATCAAACAATTTGACAGATAAGAAATGGGAGAACGCTGACTTTTTTTTACCCCTTAAGAATCATGTCTCTGGCAGGAAAGGATCTGAGGTAGTTTTAAACCTTGAGATTAACTAATCTCTATTTATAAGACCCTGTTTAAGACTGATGACTCCTGAACTGTTTCATAGCTTTTGCCATCTGAGTCTACTTGGTGCTTGCACAGCTCATGCTTGCCTGTCTTCCAACCCCAATTTTTCTGGGCTCTCATAAGGCATACATTCTGTAGTTTCATGGGTATCATTTTTAGGTTTCTATAGCACAAAGCACAACAAATTTAATTAACAAATACATTTCTGAGCAGACAATACAAAACAGTGCTTAAAATAAGTAGCAAAAAAAAAAACCCACTTTGTTTAAATGAGCCCTATTAAGTTCCAGGTAACTTTGCCTACCTATGAAGAGGACGTGTCTATCAACAGTTTAAAGGCTCAACTTGGGCCACTATGCTTCCTCCAACCCTTAGAAAGTAAACTAGTGACTTGAAAGCAGGTAGAAGGGTCCCTTTTCCATACTTGCCCATTTCTTACATGTCCTACCCAACATGTCATTGCTACTGGACACCTTTGTCTGTGATCATATACCAGATCTAATTTTTATTTTTAATTTAACATGGGGTTGTACTTCTATTTTATAATGATGTGCTAGAATTGAAAATGGCCAAGCTTGAGTTTTACCCTTCTTCACTTCAGGGTGACTAAGAAGCAGCGAGACAGAGCATGAAACATCTAGCATGAAAGCCAAGTTTGAGTTTTGGGTAGCTTCTTAAGGAGATAATGGAGGTAAACCTGACTGAAGCTACTTCCACTGGCCAAAAGTTAAGCTAGT